TGAAAAGAAGCAAAGATACATCTGATATATGACAATAGCATCAATTGATGTTAAAATACAATTTGTTGTTATATTGTCAAAATATGAAGTTTACGTTCTATGATTACTTGAATAAAATTATTTAATTTTCGTAGAAAAATCATCTTATTAACCGATGTCTATATGTTATCATATATAGGAGCAATTATGGGTGTTCACTAAGTTTTGATCCACTTAATCGATACTATTGCTATAAGAATACAAGCATTTTAACATTTCATAGAAAATTTTGAATTATTTTTTGGAATATTTCTTATGCTTCTTCAGTTAAGTTAAACAAAACAGTTTTAAATAAACGAAACTTTACATAATATTCTAAATAAAATAAGCGAAATTATAAATCAAGTTTCATGTATATATTCTTCATCTTAAACCATTCCTTGCTGAAATCGAATCAATACTTTTTCTATAATTTAGACTTCAGGCTAGAAAATACTTTCAGCCGTTTTGTCATTTGTTTTATGAATTTTTCGTCACTTTCAATTTATTTTATCGAATTCAATAAAAGAACAACTACAAGAAGAATAATTTAATAGTGATAAAGTCTAGGTCGTACAAAGAGTATCGATTCGCTTTCAGCAAGAAATCATCCAAGACCCAGGACACATACATGAATCTTAACACACAATTTTACTTATTTTATTTAGAACTATTCATTTGCAATTACTTTGTGTTACTTAATGAAAGAAAAAAAAAATAGAAATGTCCCAAAATTTTCTTTAGAATTCTAAGAAGCTTGTGTTCTTGTAACAACAAAAATATGCTTTTTACATATATGAAAAAATAATATAAATTAAGTGGGTCAAAACTTAATGCACACTCTTTATGTTCAATAGAAATTAGTATTCTCAATGCAAATAATTTTATCGTTTAATTATCGACAAATAGAAAAGATTCTTTTTATTATTTTTGTTTTATCTTATTTATTCTTTTCGACTCAAAACAAGTTTTGATGACGATGAAAACAATAATAAATTTGTTGAGTCGATGAATGTTAACCATTCCGATTGATAATCGCTTTGATGTTTAGATTCGCGATGGATAAAGCATCTAAGATGATATCAATTACAATAAATACAAGAAAACAAAATGAATTAAATACATACAACTCGAATTCGTCGTCCGAGAGCTTTTGGTGGTAAATTACGACGGAATTTAGCACGTACAGCACCACTTTTACCGTGCGCTCGGGTAACTTTACCCCAAAGAATACGAACACGATTTAAACGTTTTTGACCAGGTACTAAGGTTTTGCTTTAAAAAAAAATATACAATCGATGTAAAATATGTAATTAAACGAATATAAACTTACTTTTTAGCCTTGTATACATAGGCACAACGTTTACCTAAATAAAAGTTTGTTTCACGTCGAGTATTGACACCGTCAAGTTTAAGTAAAGCAGTATTTTCATGTTGATTACGCTTGCCACGTCGGAAACCGGTAAATACTGCTTTTACGTAGAGACTAGTAGACAAAAAAAAATAATTATAAATATTGTTCATAGAAATCATATGGTTATTACATACCGGCCTTTCTTTATGTATGCGCCTTCAGGTTTTTCCACTTTCTTTGAGGATGTCATTGTTTGATCGGTAGTCAAATCTGGAAAAACAATAAAAAAAAATAAAATTATCTTTGTCCGATGAAAACACGAACAAACTGATTTTTCTTTTTCATTTAGTAAAACAAAATAAATAAAATAAACAATATATCTGATTGGTTAAACATAAACCATTACTCAAGGAGTTTGTATGAATAAAACTATGTAATATTTATTAGTTTTATGGTTTTCATTTTATATAAAATAAATATTTAAAACTTTTTTTCGAATATTATTTCGATGGAATATTTACTCATCAAATTCAATTGGTTTTTTAAATATCCAATCGTAAAGTTGATTCGTTTTTGTGCTAATCTAAATTCGTTAATGCGCGAATTGAAATTGAGCATAGTAAAGTAATTGCATGAAATAGGAAGCCAAGTTTTATTTATACTTCTTAATAATTAAAATGAAGTTCGATCAGAATTAAAAAAATTTTCGGAAATTAAATTGATACTCGATTTTATTTAATATTTAATTGATCAACATTCTATTAAAGCTTAGAGAAATCATTGATAATAACCAAGACTGGTTCCATTGCAGTATTAGATAATACATGCTCTAACCAGAAAATATTTGCGCTTTTTCTAATGAAGCCAAAGGTTTTGTTTTTTAGAAGCTGTCAGAAAGATGATATTTGGCTTTACCAAGACTATGCAACATTTTCATAATGTTAAGTGTTCCAAATTCATGCTGAGTATAGTAAATTTCTACCAAGACAGGTCTTACTCTATGTACTGCAACGCCTTAATGAATTAACGAAGCTGTTACGTTAAAATTAATTTTTATATTTTAAAGTTTAGATTCACTGTGTGAATAATTATAATTCTCATTTTTATAATAAATTTCATAATGAAGACTCAAATTTTGGCAACAAAGACAGTTTTCCCTACCTATTAAATAAATATATCCAACTTCAGATCGATCTAGACAAATATTTTATGATAATATACTTCTTTTCTTTTCTTAATCTCTTTTGTTTATCATTGAGATTCAAGTCGCTATCAATCACGACAGAGTTATGCATCTGACCAACAATATTAGATGTGGTATTTATTTCTCTACGAAGTTTTCTTGAGGAAAGTAATTATATTTCATCGACATTGTTTAATATCTACGAATTGATACAATAAGACTTTTCATAGTCGTATCTATGGTTGAAATTAATTTTCGTGTAAGTCGTTCTACGCATGTAATAGAATTTTAGAATTTCAATCAAGACAATATTGATAAAAATTGAATGACTAATGAGGAAATCGATTCAATTTAACTTGATAAAACTTCTATTTTAGATTATAAATGTCATCCCAAGGTGAATGTCTTTCTCAACGGACTGCATTTCATACTGCTGGCAGTCATAAAGTAAAAGATTTCTGTCTTTTTTCTCTCAAACAAAAAAAAAAGAACATTCTAAATATGATAAAAAAAAAGGAATTTATGGTTTCTTTTTAAAAACAGGTGACATTTGTTGTTGTTGTTCCATTTTATTTTCAATATTATATTCATCGTTATCATTATCATTTAGAAGTGCATCAAGATCTTCAATACATGGTTCTTTTCTTTTATTATTTTCAATTTGTATTGATTTTGTTGGTGTTTGCATTTTACGTGCATAATCTTGACAAAGTTGATCATCATCAATATCATCATCAATTTGATCATTATCATCCATTTTAGTATCTTGTTGTTCTTGTTCGAATGATTCCGCAAAACGACGCATTTCATCATCGTCAATTTCATCAAAATGTATTTTTCTTGTTGTGGAAATTGTTGATCGTTGTGGTACTGTACTAAATACGAGATCATCATCAACTTCATCACCATCAAATTCATTTTCAGATAAATCATTATTTTCATCTGCATTAGTATTTTCATTATCTTCACCGACTGTACCCAAAATTTGAGCAACACGAGCTAATGATTGTTGTTTTACTTCAATAGGCTGAAAATTACAGATATAGTTCAGTTCTTTTTTTTTTCGTTATATACATATATCTATAAATACGTTTTTAATAAAAATTGAAAACTAAAAAATAAATGATTTCTATAGATAAGCTGAAGCCTAACCTAGATTCAAGTGTTTTAGACTAGATTAGGCTCAAACAATTGTTTCTCATACCATCAGATTGATAGATTTATGTAGCATATCAAAATTCTTAAACAACGGTCAAAATTTATCACCGCTTTTGACGGCAAGCAATGAGATTTTTGTAGGAATAATTGAATTTTGTATGATCAAACGTTATATCCTACATTATCAATGATTCGAAGTAATACTCCTTTGTCATAAGTGAAGAAGAGTTGTACGGAAAATTCGAGTTAGATAAACTGCAAGTTTCTAGAAATTTTCTTCATCGGCCGTTGTTAAGTTTACATGCCTGAGAAACATTGTCAATAACTAGCAGATGCACAATAGCGCTCTTTTTTGCGTGAATGCTACTATCTTACAATTATTCTGTTTTTCTATAAAGTGTATTGAAACTTCTTCTTTCACGAGTCAAAATGAATTAAAGACAAGTTTTGATGTGCTTCTGCAAGTACACATTTCTTGTGTGCAAAATCCGAACATCTTCTGAACGGCACTAACTTTATTGAGTGAAAAATGTGAGTTAGAAAAAAGAGAAACTCTATACTTTCTTCCAAACAGCATAAAATAGTTCCCAATCTACCTCATCTTTATTCTTAACTATTCAATGGAATCTTACATAAATATTGTTGAGTCTACCCGAGATTCAAAACGTTCTGTCGTCTATGAGAGTGATCATTCGTAGAACGATTGTAGAAAACAAAAGGAACATGCCTTGTAGCGAACTCCATAAACAACCAATTAATAAGAATAAAGTTTTGTTTTGTGTTGATTCATCTGTGAAAAAAGATGGATTACAAAATGAATAAGTTTTCAACAACTACAAAACTTGGGTAGTTTTTTGAAAATAAAGTGTTTCTTTTCCACGAAACAAAATCTATGATGGAAAATGTATTCTGCGATATAGAGCGATGGCAATGCCTACTATTGGTATCAATACCAATTCGAATGTTTCGCAAAAAACTCGGTAGAAAACAGATGATAAGACATAGAATGATCATTATGGATATTTCACGAAAACCAGTTTTTTAGTTTTTCAGCGTCTACTACTTGAGCATAAGATTTGTTTGTATCACACGAAATGAAAGAACAAATTATTCTCTACAAAATAAGACGTTTCCAAGCTCTCTACAACATTTTTTCTTCGCACTATGTCAAGTTTACACCAAGCATCACATAGAGTTTTTGTTAAGTCGTTCTTCCCCNTAACGACGATTATTTACAAAACCATCATCACTATATTCATCACTGTCATATAAATCAACTTCATCTGGTACACGAGAATAAACAATTTGATTTTCATCACTAAATATAAAAAAAGAAAAACATTTTAATTATGACTAATTATTTCAATTTAAATTTCTAATGTTGATAAGAATGAGTAGAATTTTATTGAAGAACATTACACCTGATTGCTATCAAACTATATTTTTAGATCTATGTGGGTTGTGGGTGTAGCCGTCTATCAGTAAATTCACTCTAGTTCCTTCAAAATTTTATGAAAACAGGATTTACTATGTACCATTCGACGCATCTCAAAACGCTCTACGACATGGTATATTTGACTTTTCATTTCTGAATAGATTATCTTATCCAACAAGGTACTTTAAATACCGTTCTAAGAAATTTTGGTTAACTCTAAGTATATTCCTGTTCATATTTTGATATATCAATATCAAAATGTGTACAAGTTCAATAAATAGCCCTTTTATTTAAGAGTATGGACCCACATCTACATCTTATATCTCGTGTAGTTGTATTTATTTATTTTGTAAAATACTTAATTAGATAACTAAAAAATCATGCAAGAAAAAATTGAATAAGTTCAGAGCGCCGTTGTCATGCTATTAAATATTATGAAAATATTTTTTTATTGAAGAAAATTTAATTGATTAAAGAGTGGTATAATTGTTTATGAAAGAGTCACATTAAATCACTTCATTTCAATATGTCATCTCGTGTATAGTATAAAAGCAATCTATTTTTTTAAATGATCAAACAAATAGGATATTAACTTAGACTTTCTAATCAATGGAGTAATTCAATCTTCAAGTCACAGGAACAGAATGACATAATCCAATGCACCAAATCGTCTGTATGTTTTTTTTCCACATATTCTTTGAATACGATCACACTGATCAGAAAGTGAAATCCTATAAGAACGAAAGAGAAATATAAGCTGAAAGAAATTTGCATAATTATACATGTCTACAATTCTATTGCAGAGTAACTCATCATGAATTGATTACAAATCTCGATTTTTTTTAATAGGCAGTCTACATTTGATGATGATTTTTTCGGTGAAAAGGAACAACTAGAATTCAGTTCCAATAAGTTTCCACATTATATATATATGTTATGGCCGAAGTTAAAATTCAGCCCAATTCAGAATTCGTCCAGACGAAATTAGAATTCTCATTTCGACTAGACGAAATTGGAGTATTATTTTAATAAATCACAGAACTTAAAGAAATACGAACAATTAGATCACAGGGGGTCACGAATGATGATGAGGGTGAGGGAGAAGTTTCTGTAACGATAAGGGGGAGTCTGGGTGAGGGTGAGTCAAGAGGGTAAAAGGAAAGTGAAAAACCCCGCAAAACCGAAATCTTGCTCATATATTCACCCTCATCTAGACTCACCATCACCCAGACCTCCCTCACCATTACCAAGACTTCTCCCTCATTCTCACTGTCGTTCGTGATCCTCTCGTGTTTTAATTGTTGATATTTCTTCAAGTTCTGTGATTAATTAAAATAATATTCCAATTTCGTCTAGGCGAATCCTGAATTGGACTGAATTCTAACTTCGGCCATAACATATATATAGACAAAGCAAAGGCAATTTTCGTATCTGTTCTAGACTTGTGCGAGATCGAAATTCAAGACTATATGATATTCCTAACTCAATCGATTTTCAAGTGAAATTGTTCGTACATCATAAATCAATTTATTGCTTTCATGATAATATCTTGTAAAAATAAAAAACACGTCATGATATAGAAGATAAACATAAATATAAATAAGTTTTGTAAATATTAAATCTGAATGAATTAATAAATGACACTGATACATACGCCTATATAAAACAAAATAAAACAGTTTCATCATGATGAAAACTAAAATATGTCTTCTTCATCGTCTGATTGTAGTTGTTCATCTTATTCATTGAACATTGCTTCATCGTTTTTAGAGAAGCATCCTTTTTTTCCTTTTTGTGAGCACAATTGTGATGAATTCTGCGATAATGCACATTTACTTGAAATAAATGATAGAGAAACTGTATCTTCTTATCTGATCCACAAAATCATTTTAAATAAGTTAAATTTATATTTAAAAACATAATTTTAACTGTTTCTTTTTATTGCTAATTGTGTTTGTTTTTGAGTACTTATTGCAGCTGCATAGACATTTGCGCGACCAAAAAAATAAAACTTTACTCGGACCAAGACCAACAACATGCCATATTCACCATGACGATTATCAGAATTGCTCAAAAAGAAGCTACAAGAACAGAATCTTGGCCGAGACCAAAAGAACTTGTTCTCGTACATGTATAGAATTGATAAGGAAAAAGCTAGTTCACTACAATGAATACTTAATTATTTAATCAGTTTTTTATTTGAACAATGGATTTAAAAGAATATCAAATTTATGAAAAAAGAAAAGATTTGGTTATCGTTTTTGGAATATTTACATAAGTTCAACGTTTTGGTCTGGGCACATATTCAACAAGGACATTTGTTGCCGATGACTTTTTATAAAGAAACTCCGATGTTGGAAATCCTTCTGTTTGCGATTTTAAATGATTAGAAATATTATTTTTTGTTAATTTATTGTCTATTTTGCGTCTGCGTTCGATACGAATATCATTACATGATTGTAAGTTAATATTATTGTCCGCATTGACTTGCTCCAACGTTGGTGATAAAATGTTTTCAATCTAGAATGAATAACCTTATTTTAGTATTCGTCGAAGAAAGTGTTGATGTATGCGTTATTGGTATCTATTCTGACACAGTAGTATTTGAACTTACCATCGTTAGGCTTTGATCAAGATTTAATGGTTCAATAGATAAATTTAATTTATTGAATGATGTTATAAATCGATTTCTGTTTAGATTATTAAATTTGGATATAAATGTTCGTGTTTTACGCTTATCAACTTCTAATGACAAATACATTCTATAAAGCTTAGTAAAGCACAAATCTTTACCTTTTGTATCATTCAAATATGTTTCATAAATATTTGATTTATTGGTATTCTCATTCGAAACAGAGTAGACAGGATCGATACGCACCACTGTAGAACTAATCTTTGGCGTAGATGTTAAAGGCATAGACGTTTTAGATGAATTGTGTTTGTCCAATTTATGTAGTCGCTTATTTTTATAGCCCCTGCAAAAGATATTGAGAGATTAATAGAATTTTTCATTTGTCTTAGCATACTTATAACAATGGCAAAGTAAGCAACAATTACAGATCGTGGTCAGAAGAGCCAAAGCAGCAAGACTTGCAATTAATGGCCAATTGATACAATTAGCTAAAAATATGATAATAATGCATTTTATTTAGTATTAAAGCAACCATTATTTACAAACATGTTAGTATTTGGGTTGATGTTGATGTAGCGGTTGTGGATGTTGATGTGGTGGTTGTGGATGTTGATGTAGTGGTTGTGGATGTTGATGTGGTGGTTGTGGATGTTGATGTGGTGGTTGTGGATGTGGATGTTGGTGCTGTTGTTGGTGGAGTTGTCGTTGCATCATCGTCTATAGCGCTCGGACATGCATTCGTACCACTTTCTGTTACATAAAACGTGAAACAATATTGCGATGATTGTGCATATTCACTATACGAAAAAAAGATGATTTAACTTAACTAATTTAACACAATCTATTATAAAAACCTGTTCAAAGCAATTGCACACATTACTTGATAGCCCAGTTGATAAATAGTTGGTGTCCAAGTTAAACTTTTATAGTAAATGAGAGAACTTAATTTGACAAGAGATCCTTGAATCATTCCAGAAAAAGACAATGTAGCAATGTCTATAATAGTAACATTTTCTCCACAATGATTTACACCAAGTAATTGGGATATAAATGTTTCATTGACTTTAATTGGTGTACATGATGCTCCAGTAAGCAATATTTCAGGTGGAATAGAACATGATGGTGGAGTAATGAATTTCACAATAAATTGAACAGGTACTGAACTTAATGGTGTTGTACTAGCTGAATTGATGAAATCCTCTGCCTAGAGAAAAGAAAAAGAAAATACTAGATTTTTTTCAAGCTAGAACAAAACTGACCATAATTGCTAAAGCATATCGACTACCAGCAGTTGTACCGGTAATTTCAATACTACAATTTGAATAAATCACTGTATTGGCTGGTAATGAACTTGGTGGACATATGGAACCACATTCATCAATCCCATTCGAAGCAGTAGCCCAACGGCATCGAACAATATCTCCATCAGCATCGCTGACTGAGATAGTAATCAGTGTCTTTTTATTCTGTTCAATATTGATTGGAGACATGACAGTGGCTACTGGAGCATTGTTAAACATGCCATTATCGGATCTTGTCATTAGCTTAATATGCGATGAAATGGACCAACTACCTCCTCCTGTCGCTATGGCACCCCACGCACCACTCGCATAAATGGCTGAAAAATCACTACCTTGTGGTATTAAAACTATGTCTGAACGTTGTCCAACTGCGATTCCATTAAGCGAAGAAACGTCAGTACAATAAGGTGTAGCAGACACACTTCCAAAACCAGTGGGACAACTAGGTGAACAAGTTAATGTTCCTCCTGAACCAGACACTGGTTTATTTGTAGCAATTGCACCATTGTCACATTTTCCAGGAGTATATGTCCAAGAATATGTTTGAATAATAAGTATAGCTATCGATGAACTACTAGTTGATGAATTCTGTATACGCCAACTGATAGTGCCACCCAAAAAGTGAGAACTGCTAATAACAGTTATAAATAAGAAGAAAACGACGGTCATGAATACAAACTGGATGTACATTGTAATCTTTTGGATGTATTTTTTGATTGTAATAAAGAAAATATTTTTTTGTCTCGGACTCCGAAATGCTTCAAATTGAAATGGAATTGAAAATTAATCAATAGAAATGATGAAAAAAATAAGAATTCAATTAATTTTATTTCTTCGTTTGAAACCTCAACTATGCAAAATAATTTGCATCTTCTTTTCCTTTTATTGCAAACGCTGACGGATCACCTATATTTGTTCTATATTTATTGTATGATTTCACCTGTAAGATCTTTGTGCCCTAAGCGCAGATAATGAAATCTTCGTTATGCCTTAGTGGTGTAACCAGAAAAAATCCGTATGTTCACTAAGCATCTCATACGGGGTTCACATCAGCATCCGTGGTGCTTTCAGATTTTCTAGTAGGGCTCAAATTTTTCCAGAGGGAGCTACATTCTCTCTGCGACGTAGCTTACAAGAACTGTGCTGTATCGAAATAGGACTTTTATAATGTTCATAAAAATGCAACAAACATAAGCATGAAGTATTTCGTCTCTTCAAAACATTGATCTTTAATATAAAATATTTCGATGTTAATTTCTTCCATTGATTTCAGAAACAATTATTGTCTGTTATCTCTTTTAATATTTATATCGAATGTATTATAAGAAAGACGACTTCAATACAATACATTTTGTTTTAGTTATTAAAGAAAAAAAAAAGGTTAACATTGAGCAGTGAATGTAATATCCCAATGATTGCCTTCTTTAGCATAAACATTGCCACTTGATGCTTTGTATTGAGCAGCACCGTCGCCTCGTTGACCAATATAAGCAAATTGTTTTGTAATATATGAGTTGATACATGAATTGACTGAAATATCAATTTTGTATCCATTCCAATGCGAATANTGAATGTAATATCCCAATGATTGCCTTCTTTAGCATAAACATTGCCACTTGATGCTTTGTATTGAGCAGCACCGTCGCCTCGTTGACCAATATAAGCAAATTGTTTTGTAATATATGAGTTGATACATGAATTGACTGAAATATCAATTTTGTATCCATTCCAATGCGAATATGTTCCACCAGCATGGCCAGTTTCCTATGTATTGAAAAAGAAAAAAAATTTAATTGTAGAAAATATTTATTGATGTAACTTACTGTGCCTCCAGTAACTGTGATAGGACATCCTGAAGATGTTTTCAATGTTTTCAAACAACGAATAGCATTACAATTGACTTGATCGAGTGATGTACATTTCCCATTATTACGATTACTGCAACCACCTGATGATGAAATTCCAATGTTAACAGATTTAATTTGCGAAAGAGCTGCAGAATGCGCATGTTTACAACCAATTACTATATAAATGGAATGTTATATTAACATTGAAATATTAGTTACAAACAACAAACCTGCATTGAAAGCAGCTACGAATAAGATAGCAGAAAACAGCCAAATGTTATTCATTGTATTGTTGTTTATCGTCAATCGACTTTCTGATGCACTGTGCTTATACTATTTGCTTCGACCTTTTATATTTATTGCTATGCACGAGAATGAAATAGGTTTAAGGCACATAGAAAGGATCATATTGCATATTTTTTGTCTTAAGTAATAGACAAAAATAAAAGATTTATTTTACTCTATTTTTCATTTGGAAAAGTAAGATTAAAAAATATATGCATGTAATTGAAATATTAGGTTTCAACAAAACAAAATCTCTCACAAGAAACGCTAAGAGATACTTTTCACTCATTTCTGTAATCTTTCTTAATAAAACAGCGAAAAATCAATCGATTCAAAATATAGTCTGATGCTATTTTGCATTTCACTGCCTACCAAATCAAAAAGTAATAAAAGAATAACAAAAACATAATATGCAAATTAACAACTTGAACTCATTTTCAATGAAAGTTCTACTTACGTGAGCTCAAAAATTATTGTATAAAATGAAAAGTTATTAATAATATTTAATTCCTAGCACAATTTATAGTTTCGACCAATTTATGAAAATCATATTATTATTTAAGAATTCAAGATAATAGAGTTCTTCTGAATCTCGCTGTCTACATAGAGAACTCTAAATACCTCATGAAAACATATAACTTTTTATATATAAAATTTTGTGGAGAGTCAAAGTTTTGTGAACGGTGTATTTTTCTTGACGATATAAAGTTTCATATATTGTTATGTCTCATAGAAATTGAATCAGTTCGGTTTTTTTTTGAAAAAGTACTTTTGATCACTGAGCTTTTTCTTGGAGTTACGATTTTTCATTTCCTTTTTTTGAATACTTCTACACAACATGTACAGCGTCTCACCCATATTCAGCACTACTTCTCGAGATCATACAGATCAATGCATAATCAAATAAATTAGTGTATAAAAAAGCTAATTAATTTATGATGAAAGCAGTAAGAGATTAGAGTGCGTGTATCTATAAAAAAAAAAAGTACACATCTTCTCTTCATATGTGAAAATGTTAACCTCGGAATCAGATTCGATTCTGTTACATATAGTCAAGTTACTTGGCTATGTGACAGCTATTGGATGTAGGTGTGGTATGGGTATGGATATGGGTGCAGGCGTAGATTTGGGAGCGAGTGTTGGTATGGGTGAGGACGAACTTGTGTATGGATGCGGAGAAGATATCACATCCACTCTTTATTGAGAAAAATAATAGGAAATAAGTGTTGGCAAATTTTGGTGATCAAAGATATGGTCACCCTTTTTTTCTGAACCGAACCAATCCTGTCTCTAATGTCTACAACATTTTAACAGTTAATACAAGCTATTAAATACAATTGACAAATTAAATTGATTTCGATCTTTGTTATCAAAAGCAATTCTTTTTATTGATGAGTAATACGAAAAAACAAAGCATATAGATTATGAGATAAATAATTATTGAAAATCTAATTTAACATGAAGCAATGAATGTAATATCCCAATGATTGCCTTCTTTAGCATAAACATTGCCACTTGATGCTTTGTATTGAGCAGCACCGTCGCCTCGTTGACCAATATAAGCAAATTGTTTTGTAATATATGAGTTGATACATGAATTGACTGAAATATCAATTTTGTATCCATTCCAATGTGAATATGTTCCACCAGCATGGCCAGTTTCCTATGTATTGAAAAAGAAAAAACATTTAATTGTAGAAAATATTTATTGATGTATCTTACTGTGCCGCCAGTAACTGTGATAAGACATCCTGAAGATGTTTTTAAACAACGAATAGCATTACAATTGACTTAATCGAGTAATGTACATTTCCGATTATTACGATTACCCAAGCAGACAAAAAGTTGGGAAAACGCGTTTAAACGCACAAAAGGAAACCGCGATTGTGAGTCATTAACGCTTATTAAAAAAGCGCAAGAAAACGCGTGTATTGGCGTTTTCTTTAACTTTCTGGACGTGAAAATGACGAAAACTCCAGTTTTTGAGCGTTAAAACGCGCTTTTATTCTAGAATTTAAAAACAATGCGTTTTAACGCTAAAAACACTGGAGTTTTCATCATTTTCACGTCCAGAAAGTTAAAGAAAACGCCAATACATGCGTTTTCTTGCGCTTTTTTAATAAGCGTTAATGACTCACAATCGCGGTTTCCTTTTGTGCGTTTAAACGCGTTTTTCCAAATTTTTGTCTGCTTGGGTACTGCAGCCATCTGATGATGAAATTCTAATGTTAACAGATTGCTTTGCAAAAGAGCCGCAGAATTCGTATGTTTACAACCGATTGCTAAATAGATTAAATATTTAATCTATATTCTAATTTTATGATTAAATAATAAATCTGCATCTAAAACAGCTACAATTAAGACAGCAGATAAAATCCACATTTCGTTCATTGTTTTTATCAATTTACTTTTGATTGCTCTGACTATACAATCTTTGATTGTTTACCTTTTATATATTAATATTCATAGAAGCAGGAACATCAAACAAAGAGAAATACACGAAATTTTCAATCAACAAATTAAAAATAGCAGGATAAGAGTGCAAAATTAATTTTTTTCCTCATGAAACACAACTTTAAGTTAAGCCACATGCAATTAAATCTTATAGTTTATCAAGTACAAATCTCTTTATAATGGAAAATATATGACATCCACAGCCTCTTTTTTTTTGTATTTTTCCGATTAGATTAACAAGCAGCTGAAATAAAAAGATAAATTGTTTTGTTTTTGTTTATGTTTGTTCTGTAGATCGATTCATTCGAAAGAAAAAGATAATTCTTTATTGAAATAAAACGACGAACAGAGAGTAAAATATTTAACTATTAAAATAATAACGAATTGGTGGTGGTGTCGTATCGATGCTACTATCCATTGGAACATCCATATCACTGTCATCTGATAAAACTACTAAGTCAGAATAGGTTATATTAGGTTTATGTGGAAGTAGTTCATCCATTCTAAAATAGAAGAAATTAAATTTATTTTCAAAATAAACAATAGGTTCTTTCTCTTTTTATGTTTACTTTCGTTTCAATTGTGATGAAGCTTTAGGCATCCATGGCGCATAAACAGATTTAACTCCTTCAGAAATTAATGCTGGTTTAATATCATATTTTCTCTAAAAATAAAAATAAAAAACAAGATAAGTTATTTAAGATATAAATCATAAACTTACTTCCACTTCCTTAATAAATCCTTCCAGAGTCATGTCAGGATTTCCTTTAATTTCAAAGCTTGACCAAATATTAACATCAAATTTTCTAAAAATCATATACGAAAAGTATTATAGGATTCAAAAAATAAACTACCTTGCATCTTTTCGAATAACTCTACGATATGAAGAGATATTGAGAAACGTTTGTTCGCTCACTTGTAGTCAAGTGTGGAACACACCAAATACTGATAGAAAAGTTTTTTCGATCGATTTCTAGACGATTTTCAGAAGAATCTTTAGAAAATCATAGTTTTATCCAACATTGAATTTTCATTTTTTGAAAAATGTATTCGATGAGAAAATTTTTCTCTTGTAATCTTTGTAAATTCGATATTTCTAACTTGTACTATTCAACAGATATAAACGTTTTCTAGAGATCTTCAATGTGGGCTAGTTGACTCTGAGTCAATCGAAAATAGAGTCAGACAGGAGTGATCGATCACGCTGAGTTAAGTAATGATGCTTGTTTTCAGTTTCAGAGAACTCTATATTTATGATATTTGAATTTTCGAAATATTGACTGTTGACCTTGTTAAAGGAGGAAAAATTAGAAATTTCGAAAACTTTGATAACAAAGTTCTAAGTTTCTCTGAAACTGAAAATAAACATCATTACTCGACTTTTCGTGATCGATCACCTCTCCCTGGATCTATTTTCGATTAATCCAGAGTCAACTAGCCAAAATCGGGAATCTTGAAAACGTTTATATCTGTTGAATAGTACAAGTTAGAAATATTTGATTTGCATAGATTAAGTGATAACAATTTTCTCTATCGAGTACACAATTCAAAAAATGAAAATGCAATGTTGAATAAAATTATGATTTTCTAATGACCATTCTAAAGACCTTTTAGAAATTCGTCCCAAAAAGAAAATTTTTCTATTAGTATTCGGCGTACTTCGAACTTGATTAGAAGTGGGTGAAAAATGTTTCTCAATATCTTTTTGTCTTGCAGAACTATTCAAACAGGCACGGAGTATCTTATTTTTTCAATCTTATAATAATAGACATAGAAAAAGATATGAAATAAAATCTTACCCAATTTTTTGTGTGGTACATGCTAATGGTTCACTAGCGATTAAAAATGGTAATGCAATATTAATATAAAAATTTCTATAAACACTTAATGGAAGGTCTTTTATTTGACTAAGACATAATTTAATAAGTTCAATTATAATCTATAAATAAGTATGAATATAAACATTAGAAAAAATATCAAACGAAAGAAACTCACAAGACCAGATACAGTTGCAGTTGTCGTTCCAATAGCTGGTACAATACGTCCTAATGGAAGAAGAAAAGCAACTAAGTTTGCAAAAACATTTCATTAAATATTACCTGCTATTCGTTTTATTTCATAACGATCACTCGGTTCAAGACCATACATATGTGCTCGTAAATTCTATTCAATGAATGAATAAAATTTATTAGATTCATATACATATATATAAATTATATGAAAACATACGGTTGCAGTTGTAATAAAATCTATTTGAAAATCATCATCTTTTTCAAATGGAATCGGTGCAGCTTCTATAAAATAAAATGTTTTTTTCATCTTTATCAAAAAAAATGAAAAAATCTATGCCATACTAAAATTTTTAGTTCGTTCTTCTGCAAATTTCCATTCATCTGCACTAATATCACCTTCATGTTTAGTTGATGTTGGTTTTGCAATAGTTGGATCAGTTATAATTATCTTCAAAGAAGAAAAAATTCGAATAAATTTATCAGTATTCACACATAACTTGAAAAGAGAAAGCCGAGATAAATTTTAGTATGTATCTGTCTGATTTATTCGAGATTAAAAGTCAAAGACAAGGATATTTTAAATTTTGACTTAGATCATCAAGGATAAGTTTCTTTGAAAAGAATATATTCTTATCCGAAGAAAGAGAATATATAAATAAATTATAATCAACAACTATTTATATCTGTTATGAGGATTTGATAGAAAAAGATTGTATTTTATTTAGCAGATGTGAAATGTGTAACATTGTATGTTTTCTTGTTTGCTATATAGGAATCTGAGCTTTTTAAAATAAGATAGTGAAAGACATGCAATGGGATCACATTGGGTAACTTGTGCACGTAGATCAGCAGCAGACAGCTAACCACACCTTCACTTGTTTTTGAACATTCATTCTCTATGTGTGTATACATAGCGATAGCTATTGGTGGCGCCTTTTTGGAGACATCAGGCATCTCTATACCGTGATACTGAAATAAAAGGCTAGTTACACGATCAGAAGCTACTTTCAATGGATAAATTCTCGAACTTTTTCTATGTATTTAGTAATAATCCAATCAAACTTTATCTTTTGGCTAAGCTTCGGTAAAGTCCTTATTTTTAAAATATAATTACAATTGAGACACAAGTTATTGGTTTTGTTTTACGCCTAACTTACGTTAAAATCATTCCTGAAATTATGATTATAATCGAGATAAATTTTATTCTATACTTCCGCTAAATAAAAGATTCTGTTTTTTTTCAACGTTATACTCAATAGCTTACATCTTCATGTATATTCTAACTCAAAGTACGCAGCTAATGGCTCACATCCTATACGAATATCATTCTGATACAAACTCTATTAGAGTTCAAAACTTGCATCTACTGTATATTAATATCTGCTTTCCTTCACTATGATCATCTAATTAAGATTTGCAGATAGAATTCAAGTCCATTATTCATTTTTATAATGGCTATCTTTACTGGAGTCCGAAATTTTTCGATCCAAACTTAGTTAACAGAAAAATTTCACACATGGGCTCGGCAGGGTGAGGGAGTAAGTTGATAAACTCTCGTTTATATTCATTGAGATAGTATGTGAATAATACTGAAGATTATATTGGTATCGCTTTCATCTCCGTTCTATAAACGCATATAGCAGTGAAGCTATTAGATTCTTATCTTTATTCACATCACAATTTTTTTTTCTGGATATATTTACAAAACAACTTTACCTTATTTCTTGGTTGCCATGATTCAACTTTCGTTTGTAAAATTAAATGTTTATTTTTTTCAATATCATTTATTTGCTCTTTATTTACCTGAATAGATAAAGATGAATGATTTAAGTTTTCTTTTTATTAAAAGAAATATTTATTTACTGGAATATTATATATCACAGCAAAAAGTTTTGCACAAGATAAAACAAAATTATAATGACTAAAAAAAAGAATAAAATAAAATTATTTGTTAATTATTCATAAAAGAAACTTACAGATTATTATTAATATCGAATTCAATTGGAGTTGGTGCGCGTTTTGGTAATTTCCAATACGGAACTAATATATTCATGTAATAGAAAAAAGAATTCTTAAATTATATATTTTTCTCTTTTATTTACTTACTTCCTTTATCATCAACCATATCTGCAGGAAATTTATGTAATAAATCTCGTGCCTAAATAAATAAAAATATAGCATAAAAACCTTTCCAAAAAAAACCTATATCTAATACTTTATTTGAAAAATATTTATCGAATTTTTCTCTTGCTAAATTTAAACAATTATCCCAATTCATACATTTTCTTTTCATAAATTTATAAATTTTTGGTAAATCATCAATGGTTTCACCATTATTAATACGATTCCAAATATTTGTTTGTGACATAACACTATTATATAATGATGGTTTCATATAAAAAGTACTTTCAAACTAAAGAAGAATTTTTATTTTCTTCAAATATATTTTTCTTTTTCTTTTACTTTTTCTCTTGCCCATATTGTACAATGTTCAATATTAGCTGGAAATGATTTAACATTACAATATGGAACATCTTTATCAATTGGATCATTCTTTTGAAAAAAAGAACAATTTTAATTAAAAAAAAGAACTTTTTCATTCTTACTTGATTTGAATAAGTTTCTGATTTATAAGGTACAACAACAAATGTATGACCTTTTGGACCCATAGTTCCAGATTCAATTAAAGGCTTTTTATTAGTAACACAACGTCTAGATATTTTAAAAGAATAAAAAACAAAG